CGTCCGAACACTTCCGTAACAAGTGCATCACTGACGACATCTGTTCAAACCACTATGTTATAAATGCAGCCCGTCCTCCAAACAAAGACCCAAAAGTGATTCTATGCACCCGCCAAACTCCCTGTTTATGAATGAGAAACGGTTTACACATGACTCTCACAACCCGTCCTCGACTCAAGTCCATTACATTCAGCGGTCAACCCCACAGACGCATTCATAAATTTTAACATGCTGTTCATTCAAAACGGTAATTTTCTCAAGTATAAATAAATATTATAATATATTAGCATATTGTGTATATATAGGCATAGGATAGGTTAGGTTAGGTGTTTAGGTTCTGTTGGCGATTATTTGTATTTGTAGTACGTGGGTGAAGCATTTCATTTTTATGAATGCGTCAGAGGTTGAGCTGGTCTTCGGCCAGGCCTCCACCCCCAGGAAGCAGCCCGTGACAGCTGACTAACACTCAGGTACCTATTTTACTGCTAGGTAACAGGGGCATAGGGTGAAAGAAACTCTGCCCATTGTTTCTCGCCGGCGCCTGGGATCAAACCCAGAACCACAGGATCACAAGTCCAGCGTGCTGTCCGATCGGCCGACCGACTCCCTGGGACAGGTAGAGGAGCGCCAGGGACAGGTAGGCGAGCGTCAGGGACAGGTAGAGGAGCGCCAGGGACAGGTAGAGGAGCGCCAGGGACAGGTAGAAGAGCGCCAGGGACAGGTAGAGGAGCGTCAGGGGACAGGAAGAGGAGCGCCAGGGACAGGTAGAGGAGCGTCAAGGGACAGGTAGAGGAGCGCCAGGGACAGGTAGAGGAGCGCCAGGGACAGGTAGAAGAGCGCCAGGGACAGGTAGAGGAGCGTCAGGGGACAGGAAGAGGAGCGCCAGGGACAGGTAGAGGAGCGCCAGGGACAGGTAGAAGAGCGCCAGGGACAGGTAGAGGAGCGTCAGGGGACAGGAAGAGGAGCGCCAGGGACAGGTAGAGGAGCGTCAAGGGACAGGTAGAGGAGCGCCAGGGACAGGTAGAGGAGCGCCAGGGACAGGTAGAGGGGCGCCAGGGACAGGTAGAGGAGCGTCAGGGACAGGTAGAGGAGCGCCAGGGACAGGTAGAGGAGCTTCAGGGGACAGGTAGAGGAGCGCCAGGGACAGGTAGAGGAGCGCCAGGGACAGGTAGAGGAGCGTCAGGGACAGGTAGAAGAGCGCCAGGGACAGGTAGAAGAGCGCCAGAGACAGGTAGAGGAGCGCCAGGGACAGGTAGAGGAGCGTCAGGGACAGGTAGAGGAGCGCCAGAGGACAGGTATAGGGGCGCCAGGGACAGGTAGAGGAGCGCCAGGGACAGGTAGAGGAGCGCCAGGGACAGGTAGCGGAGCGCCAGGGACAGGTATAGGGGCGCCAGGGACAGGTAGAGGAGCGTCAGGGACAGGTAGAGGAGCGCCAGGGACAGGTAGAGGAGCGTCAGGGACAGGTAGAGGAGCGCCAGGGGACAGGTAGAGGAGCGCCAGGGACAGGTATAGGGGCGCCAGGGACAGGTAGAGGAGCGTCAGGGACAGGTAGAGGAGCGTCAGGGACAGGTAGAGGAGCGTCAGGGACAGTTAGAGGAGCGCCAGGGGACAGGTAGAGGAGCGCCAGGGACAGGTAGAGGAGCGCCAGGGACAGGTAGAGGAGCGCCAGGGACAGGTAGAGGGGCGCCAGAGACAGGTACAGGAGCGTCAGGGACAGGTAGAGGAGCGTCAGGGACAGGTAGAGGAGCGCCAGGGAAAGGTAGAGGAGCGTCAGGGACAGGTAGAGGAGCGCCAGGGGACAGGAAGTGGAGCGCCAGGGACAGGTAGAGGAGCGCCAGGGGACAGGTAGAGGAGCGTCATGGACAGGTAGAGGAACGCCAGGGACAGGTAGGGGAGCGCCAGGGACAGGTAGAGGAGCGCCAGGGACAGGTAGAGGAGCATCAGGGACAGGTAGAAGAGCGCCAGGGACAGGTAGAGGGGCGCCAGGGACAGGTAGAGGAGCACCAGGGACAGGTAGAGGAGCGCCAGGGACAGGTAGAGGAGCGTCAGGGACAGGTAGAGGAGCGCCAGGGGACAGGTAGAGGAGCGTCATGGACAGGTAGAGGAACGCCAGGGACAGGTAGGGGAGCGCCAGGGACAGGTAGAGGAGCGCCAGGGACAGGTAGAGGAGCATCAGGGACAGGTAGAAGAGCGCCAGGGACAGGTAGAGGAGCGCCAGGGACAGGTAGAGGAGCACCAGGGACAGGTAGAGGAGCGTCAGGGACAGGTAGAGGAGCGCCAGGGACAGGTAGAGGAGCGTCAGGGACAGGTAGAGGAGCGCCAGGGACAGGTAGAGGAGCGCCAGGGACAGGTAGAGGAGCGCCAGGGACAGGTAGAGGAGCGTCAGGGACAGGTAGAGGAGCGTCAGGGACAGGTAGAGGAGCGCCAGGGACAGGTAGAGGAGCGTCAGGGACAGGTAGAGGAGCGCCAGGGACAGGTAGAGGAGCGCCAAGGACAGGTA